TTTTTTATGTGTGCAGAGAGCATGTCCTGGGGATTATTAACTTGATGACACCAATGGGCAGATTGTAAGGCTTATTCTCTACTATTGTTTTATTGTTTGGGGGGTGGGTATTGTGCAAAGAACATGTCTTATGAGTCAAACAGCATGCTTGGGGTTCACTAACTCACTGAGCTCACTAGGCAGGATGTAGGTCTCAAGTCACCATTGTTTTATTGTTTGGGGGCATGTCTCGTGCTTCTGGTGTAATTTAGTTGCTAAGCAAGGTAGCTTGATTCTACTGTTAAGCAAGCCAATCTGGCTTTGATGCAAGTGATTTGTTCTGCTTTATGAGTCAAGCAAGGGCTTCCCACGTGAACTTTCTTGCCAGTGCAGGAGATGTAAGAGACATGGATTGGATCCCTGGGTCTGGAAGATTCCCTGGAGGAAGGCTTAGCAACCCACTTCCAGTACTCTTGACTGGAGAATCACATGGAAGTGGAGCTTGGGGGGCTACAGTCCATGGGGTCGCAAAGAGTTGGACTGAAGTGACTGAGCATGTACACCTGCGTAGGTCAAGCAGGCCCACATTGTTTCAGAATTTTCCCATTACTTTCTTGAGTGATCATTAATCTTATTGTAGTCTCCCAAAGCCCTCTGAAGTTCCATCTCTATCTACAATTCCCTCATGGGGTTTCTAAGCTAACTATCTCAGTCATGTCCAACTCTTTGTGACCCCATGGACTGTAGCCTGCCTGGCTCCCCTATCCCTGGGATTCTCCAGGCAAGAACACTGGAGTGAGTTGCCATTTCCTTCTCCAATGTATGAAAGTGAAAAGTGTAAGTGAAGTCGCTCAGTCGTGTCCGACTCTTAGCGACCCCATGGGCCGCAGCCTACCAGGCTCCTCTGTCCATGGGATTTTCCAGGCAAGAGTACTAGAGTGGGGTGCCATTGCCTTCTCCACTGGGTAGTCCTACTTCCCATTAAAAATATATCTATTTAACTCTATGATGAAAAAAGAGTTGGAATCTGCTTTTTCAAAAAAGTTTTAGGGAGTCAAGCAAAATTGTGTGCTGCCCATTGACACAGGGCATGTGACAGTTTGACTCTGACAGTAGGAGGGGTACTCAGCATTGAGGCGACTCCTGGAGAGAAATGGGGTACTCTGGCAAACACAGGTAACCCCATGGATCAGAAAGCCAAGCCAGTTCCCCAGTAGTGGGATGGCAGGAACCAGCCACCTGGTGGGGTCTCGATGTGGAACACTGGTTCCTGAGTAGAACTGGGAGATAATCAGGTTTTCCAGAAGGGACCCTGGGCCCAGGGAGCCAGACAGGGGTCCAAGAGACTCAGGAAGCAGATTCAAAGTGAGGGTTGGACTAGCAGGGCATGAGTTCATGCTGAGTCCCTGTTCAATGGCCTAAGGGTTTCCTTAGGCCAAAAGGAAGCAATTCTATAGAGTCCATGTCAATGGGCATCCCTGGGGACATCCCCACTAATCCAGCGGTTGGAACTTCACCTTCCAATGCAAGGGGTACAAGGTCTATTCCTGGTTGGGGAGCTAGGATCACACGTGCCTCACATCCAAAAAGCCAAAACATGGAACAGAAGCAAATGTTGTGCCACATTCAGTAAAGACTTTGAAAATGGTCCACAACTCTGGGAGAAGGCGAGGGTGGGATGTTTCAAGAGAACAGCATTGAAACATGAATATTATCTAGGGTGAAACAGATAACCAGCCCAGGTTGGGTACATGAGACAAGTGCTCGGGCCTGGTGCACTGGGAATCCCACCATCCCAACTCTCAGCTTCATCCCACACTCCTGCTAGATACATTTTGAGCCCAATTCACTCACCTAAGCCCAGCATTTATCCCTGAGTCACAGAGGTGCCTTTAATATCATTTATATCTCATCTCTGGAGCCGTATGTGTTGAGAAGCAAGAGAAGATGCTGAGAAGTCTTTGCCCTGAGACTGTGCAGAGGCCTCAGGGAACACAGGGCAGAGCAGTGATCCTAACACTCATTCTCCAGCATCCCTCAGGGAGGAGGGTCCCAGGCTGAGGGCTCTGGCTCTGCTCCTTCTGCATCTCGGTCCCCCACCTGAGGGTGTGGGAGAGGCTCCCACTCCTTAGAAGTGACTTACAGACCTCTCTTTCCAGATCCTTAAGCAAGAGCGCACACTATCCAACAGGTTCAGGTCTTGCAACGGAGGGTTGGTGGCTCCACCCATCATTCCAGGAGACCCAGGACAATCTGTGTGGTCTCTAAATCAGTGGATCTCCAAGTGGGGCCTGAGAACTTGTTAGAAAGGCAAATTCTCAGGTACAACCCCAACCTATGTGTCAGAAACTCTTAGGGTGAGGTCCAGCTCTAAGGGTCTTAAATTTATTTTTTCCCCCAGCATCTTAATCTTAACCAGGCAAATCTGATGCACACTGGCTTTGGAAGCCCCGTGGGAAACCATACTACTTTGAAAATCTGTTTCCTTGGATGCAAAATGGATATTATCAGTGTTCTTAGTGCAAAGGGTATCTTGAGGTTAAAAGAGATAATTCCTAAGGTCCTAGAGTTCCTGGTTAAATGTTAGCATTATCTCACCAATTACCACTCTAAGAGTTCAAGCTGTTTCACAAGAATGTAGGAATCTGGGGCTTTCCTGGTGGCTCAGTGGTAAAGAATCTGCCTGCCAATGCAGAAGACGTAGATATGATCCCTGATCCAGGAAGATCCAGGCAGGCTGGTTCAAAATTGGTTCAAAAAGAATGTCAAGGGTGTATATTGTCACTCTGTTTATTTAGCTTCTATGCAGAGTACATCATGTGAAATGCCAGGCTGGATGAAGCACAAGCTGGAATCAAGATTGCCGGGAGAAATATTAATAACCTCAGATATGCAGATGACACCACAGTATGGCAGAAAGTGAAGAACTAAAGAGCCTCTTGACGAAAGTGAAAGAAGAGAGTGAAAAAGCTGGCTTAAAACTCAACATTCAGAAAACTAAAATCATGGCATACGGTCCCATCACTTCATGACAAATAGATGGGGAAACAATGGAAACAGTGACAGATTTTATTTTGGGGGGCTCTAAAATCACTGCAGATGGTGACTATAGCCATGAAATTAAAAGACGCTTGCTTCTAGGAAGAAAAGTTATGACCAACCTAGACAACATATTAAAAAGCAGAGATATTATTTTGCAAACAAAGGTCCATCCAGTCAAAGCTATGGTTTTTCCAGTAGTCAAGTTATGGATGTGAGAGTTGGACTATAAAGAAAGCTGAGCACTGAAGAATTGATGCTTTTGAACTGTGGTGTTGGAGAAGACTCTTGAGAGTCCCGGGACTGTAAGGAGATCAAATCAGTCAATCCTAAAGGAAATCAGCTCTAAATATGAATATTCATTGGCAGGACTGATGCTGCAGCTGAAACTCCAATACTTTGGCCACCTGATGCAAAGAGCCAACTCATTGGAAAAGACCCTGATACTGGGAAAGAGTGGGGGCAGAAGGGGAGGACAGAGGCTGAGACGGTTGGATGGCATCACCGACTCAATGGCCGCGAGTTTGAGCAAGCTCCGAGAGGTGGTGATGGACAGGGAGGCCTGGAGTGCTGCAGGCCCTAGACGTCAGAGTCGGACACGACTGAGTGACTGAACTGAAATGAATGCAATGACACCAGTAAAATGCCTGAACATGATGGGGAAGTTAATTCAGAAATTACCCTATCTACAGTTTTGTCTTTACGTTTCCAACCCCTGCGCTCTCCAGGGTCTCTTCCTCTCCTTATTTCAGGTGTCAGCACCCAACTGAGAGCCCCAAGACAAGAATTCACCTGGGAGATTGTTAGAAATTCAGAATTTCCCCAGGAAGCTTTACAACATTCTAACAGCGATTGCCTGGGTCGCGGGTGTTTGAGAAGGGCTGCGGGGGGGCTCTGTTTACTAAACATCCTTGGGTTTTTGCATAAGGAATTCCCTAAGGGTCTGATTACAATCTCCCCGTGTAATTCTTATGACAAAGTAAATTTGGAATCTAGGGATTCGCCTTCCCCTAAGGATCCGGAAAACAATTTTTCACCCTAGGATGGAGATTTGGGGCATTCATCTTCTGGCTTTTTGTTTAATGGAATTTATGGCATCTGGGAGTGGACCACCTTTCCAACGCCTCCACTTAAGAGAAAAATAAAGATTTAATTCCCAGAGTTCAAAAGGAAATAAAACAAATTCTCTTCTTGTTGCTAACATCCAGTACCTGAGATCAGAACCAGTAAAATGGGGATTAGGGGGCCAAGGTCCGGGATTAGAAGGGACGAGCTCCAGCTGGAAGTGCCCACAGGTTGGTGACCTGGTGGGTCCCTTTGACACCCTTGGGCTGTGGCGCCCCACCGACTGACTGCGCGGGTCTGTCCTGGGCCCCAGCCCCGCAGCGCTGTAACCAAAGTGGGGAGAGGCTGGATCGCGCGCTCAGCTTTTTCCCCACAACTGCCGAATCCCAAGAGCCTGCCAAGCTCCCGGCCAGCTCTCTAGGGATGCACCCCCGGGTCCGTACGCCAGCCAGAGCCCGCCCGCTCCCAAACCCCAGACAAGGGCGCGATTTACCAGTGGGAACCGCCTCTGGCCCACCCATAGGAGGACGCCGCTTTTTTTTTTTTTTTTTTAATGCCATCAAATTCAATATTTACAAGAACAATCCCATGCTTGGTGCTAAAATGACTGGCCACACAAGAAACAGTTTACTTCTTATAAGAAGAAAAACCTACGCTTGTGCCTTACTCTTAAAGAGAGAGAGAGTAATAAATACAGTTTAAAAATTACCCCCCAAAATCGCTTTTTGCACGCGCCCCCTTTCCCTCTAGTCGGGGAACAAATAGTAGTCAACTTTGCCAGGGACCCATCGGCGGGTCCTAGCAGCCCCCGCAGCTGTGGCCTTGTAACTTTAAACCTGGCCTGAGGTCATCGTTTTCGCGCTGGCCAAACGCAGGCAGGGGGCGGTCCTAGCGAACCCGAGACTGGGACCACCTTAGCCCGCGGACTGTCCCCGCCCTCGCCCTCGTCGGGAGAGATAAATGCTGACTCCGATCCGAAAGTTCCCAACTGCAAAGTTTGCTCCGCCTGCTGCTATTGAGAGCGAAGGAACTTGGGGACCCCTCCCGCGCTGGGACTTTTGCTCCCCGTTTTCCAGGCCCCACTCTCGCGCTCCATCAAGGGAAGGCCCCTGGCTACGGAGCTTTTTCATCTTTCCCGCAGCCCAGAAACTAGCTGCTCGGCCCCGCACCCCAAAGAACAAGTCAGCTAAGAAAAATGTGGAAGGTGCCAGTTCTGTTCTTCATTTTGGGAAGCGCATCGTTCTGGGTCCTGGCAGAAGGAGGTAAGGCCAGCGGGCGGAGCTCCCCGAGCAGCTAGCTGGTGGGGACGAGCGAGCCGGGACTTGCGGGTTTCCGGGGCCTGGAATGTGAGGTTGCCTGGGGGAGCAGAGGGGAGCTGGCAATGTGTGCGCGCCGGAGTCTGGAGGGCCCGGGAGAAGAAGAGACGACGGCTTAGCGGGTGCCAGGTCCCAGGCAAAGAGCTGAGTGGGGTGCCAGGGAAAGACCCCGAATCCACAGGTAGCAGGTGGGGAGCAGAGGGTCCCTCGGGGGCGACCCGCCTCCTGCCAACCCTTGCTGGCTCCCAAGAGACAGAGAGAAGGCTCGCAGCCAGGCGCCTTCCACTGGCGGCGCTCGGATTTTCTCCAGGGCTGTGTATTGGAGGCATGCTGTTGGCCTCAGAAGTACTGGCCCCATGGAATCGTGAGGGTCGGGAATGAGGGTGGGATATCCCTGCGCAGCAACGGCCTCCCTCTGGGGGCTGCCAGTCTGTAAGAGCACGTTGGATACACCCAGGACCCCATCAGTGGGGATTCGTTATCCTCTGTAGAGAGGATAGTGTGTGGGGATAAGGACCGCACTGGAGGGTCCTGATTGCAGAAGGGAGTGGCCCATTATTAACACTGATGTTTAAGTTCCTTTGGGGCCACGTGTGGAACTTGGCCAACAGTGTTAATGACCACGTGTTGGTGACTCCTTAGACCTTCACTTCTCTAGGTCTGAGAATGGGGACGCTGCTTGCCCATCACTCCCATATCTCCTCCTTCCCTCTTCTTGCCTTCTTGTCTCTTGCCCCTTGTTGCTGTGTTGGTAGCCTCCAGTCACATGGATCAGTGTTTTCTTTTTCTTGGGTCTTTATTTTGATCTGTTTCCACAGTAGAATATACACTCCTGTGGACACAGCTGTGTCTTCACCTTGATCCCCAGGGCCAAACAATATCCGGCCCTTAGTAGTTGCTCACTGAATATTGGTTGAAGGCATTGTAACCTAACTAGGGATCTTTGGAGCTGAAGGTTGAGGAAATGAAACTCTTTTACATTTTCCAAATTGAGGATGGAGGTAGGCCTGGAGCCAGAGGAATCCTGCCTGAAGGGAGGGGCTTGAAGGAGGGCTCCGCACAAAGACAGTAATACCTAGCTCCAGGCCGGTGAGTGATTCAGGGTGTGTTTCCCTGTGCGGCGCTGCTTCGTGGAGACTGAGGCGCTGTCTGTGCTGTGCGTGCGTGTGTGCTCCCTTGTGTCCAACTGTTTTGTCAGCCCGTGGACTGTAGCCCAGCAGGCTCCTCTGTCCATGGGATTTCCCAGGCAAGAATACTGGAGCAGGTTGCCATTTCCTCCTCAGGGATCTTCCGGACTCGGGGATTGAACCCGGGGGATCTCGTGTATCTCCTGCATTGGCAGGCAGATTCTTTACCCCTGTGCCATCTGGGTGGGAAGCCCTCTTTTTGCTGGGTGGCGAGCTATTCATGGCGGTCCTATCTTTGGAACTTCTCTCTTCAGAGCGACATACATGGCTCTGCATTTCAGTTACATTTCCTTTCTGGCCAGACTATGCAAATGACACCATTTTGTGCTCAGCAGGGCAAGATGTGGGAGGCCCCCCCAAACTGAGCCTTGTCCTAGCTCTGCTCAGGAAACAGGGCCACTGGGTGGCATCCCCTCCCCTCCCCCAGCCTCCCCCACTCCCCTGCAACCCCCTTGCCCCGGGGAAGAGTTTAGCTGTAATTATCTTTAAGCCAATTCTGAATATCAAAGGTACTCCTAAAAAGAAGTAATAAAAAAAAAAATCTTCGGGGCTGAAAAACCAGCCACTTCTAGTAATAGCAACTCGATGGGGAAAGACTGAAGCACCCTGGCCCCCTCCCCAGGGGCTGTGTGTCAATGCAGTTACTGGGCTGCTGGCGAAGAGTTGAGGCCCAGGAGGGGTTTTGTCTGAGGATAATGAGCAAGGCAACTTGAATATGGATGAATAACTTCTTTGAGCTGAGCTATTGTGGGCTCTAGTTGGGGAGCTGAGCTAGGGGTAATTATGGTGATGAATTTTACTATCTTTCTCTTAGGAGTCTACTCCCTACTGGGCTTCCCTCTTCTAAAGTTATAATCTGGTTCATTTGTACAATCTGGTCCTCTGGCTTGAGATGTCCTCTGGGTCTCTTGAGATGTTAGTGGATTTAAAGGAGCTCGGTGGTCCACACATCTGGCATTTTCCTCCACCGTCAGGCCCCACCTTCACTCTGAACTTTCATCCAAGACACGTATAGGGGCCGCTCCTGTTTATTTCGTGAAATTCTGCAGGCCGCTGCTTGCTGAAAACCCACATGTGCTTTTTTCCCGGACCAGTCCACCCAGGATTAATCATGCGATGAACAAATTTCCCTGTGCTTTCCCCAAAACTCTTGCCAGTTTCAGAGGCTTGGAAATCTTCACGAGTTGCTAAGAGTTTTGTTGCACTTAAGGTATCTCAGGTCTGTTAGAGCCTTCTCGAGGGAGGCTCTGATGACACTGGCATGTGAGATCCAAGATAGCATTTAATATAGAAAAGCACATTTCTAAAAAGTATCCTAGCCTGAGAAGGCTAAACTGGGACATGGCAAGAGGGAGGAACCCAGGCTGATCAGAGGTACGTGGCGGCTGTAAGTGAGTGACCAGTGAGTAAGTCTATACCAAGAATTACAAGGACCCCAAACCTTGGCATGAAGGTGGATGGTGTGACCGAATGGGAGGGACACTACCTCTGTCCCATTCCCATCCCCCTCCACATGCCAGGAATGTCACGGTTCCCTCATTAAGTCATCATGCATCCTTAAATTATACATTGCCATCTTCAGAATAGGCCAGAAGTGAAATTCCAAAAATGGGCCTAGCTCCAAACCTCAAAGCTTTTCTTTTTTTTTTTCAACCTGCATTACACATTGGGGGAAAAAGAAAGGTTGAACTTGAAATTAAAGGTTAACCTTGCTTTAAACTCCTTAAACATGAAAACAAAAATTTTTCAAGGTATAAAAATTCTTTACATTTAATACTTACCGTAATATTCCTTTTAGAATGAAGATGTCAGGTACGTTAAAATAGGATTTGTTCATGCATTCCCCAAATAGAAACTCAGCATCTCCTGATATACTGGATATGAAATTCTAAGCACTTTTGGGGAAGGCACACCTAACATAAAGCATTGCACTTCAGTCCTTACCAGCAAAACGATGAACGTGTGCTTTAAATTCCACTGGCTTATCTGAATATTTGTCATATTTCTGGCTTCCAAGAACAGGCGTGCCAGGTTACAGCTTGTGGAGATATTATGGGGGAGGATGTTGAGAGGGGAGAGGCTCATGTAGCTGGCAGTACCCTTGTGAGACTTGAAGAAGTTAAATCAACTCCTGTAAGGCTCTCCAAGGACCCTCCCACTCCTTGGGTATTCCAAAGAAATACTCGGTGAGAGTGTTTTGTTGGAAGAGAATCAAATGAGTGGGGTCATCGGGTGGGCTACAGAGATAAATCTTGGGATTCCCACAGGGGTAAGCAAAATAAAAACACCTTTAAAAAAATTAAATATTTATTTTCTGGCTGCGCTGGGTCTGTTTCTGGACCCTGATTGCTGGACTAGACTTTTCTCTAGTTGAGGTGAGACGAGGGCTACTCTCTAGTTAACGGTGCGCAGGCTCCTGATTGCAGTGGCTTCTCTTGTGAGCACGGGCTGTAAGGTGAGCAGGCTTCACCAGTTGCAACACGTGGGCTCATTAGTCGCAGCCCCCCTGGCTCAAAGGTTGTGGTGTACGGGCTTAGTCGCTCTGTGGCATGTGGGACTTCCCAGATCAGGGATGGAACCCATGTCTCCTGCGTTAGCGAGCTGGTTCATTACCACTGAGCCACCAGGAAGGCCCTGAAAGCACCTTTTGATTGGAGTTCTGAATGCTTTCCCTACTGATTTCTTAAAACCTTGGGGGAAAGGGAAGTGATGGGGCATTGTATCTGAGGGTTATGAAATGGAGCCAGGTTAGGGAGCAACTGGAATTCTGCCACCTTCATCCAAGGCAGGAAACTGAGGTGACTGTTTTCCTTCCCTCGAGACTCAGCCCAGCGCCCACCAGCCCGCCTGCTCCTGGCGGCTAGTCCCGGGCAAGCATTCCCTGGAGCTTCGATGGATGGGTTTTCCCGATTTTCCACCTGGCCCCGTGCCTTTGCCTCAGGAACTGCCCGGAGGAGATGGCTTTAATCCTCTGAGGGAAATTTGTAGATCTGGCCGCTTCATATGCCTGCTTGTCTGAGGAGCTGCACCCTGAGATTGTCAGGGCAACACTAATTTTATGTGGGGGCGGGGAACCCCACAAAACACAAAAACAACAAATTTAGTAATTGGATAATCACCTTTCCGGAAGGTAGCCTCTGTCCAGAGGGTCAGGGTTCCAGACAGTAAAGAGAGAATGTCACTGAGGCCTGGGGGAATGGGAACAATTGTCACTTACATTTGTAGCAGATAGGGAAGGGCCTCTAGAAGATGCGTCAACATTCCTGATGAGAGTATTTCCGTTAACTCATCACAATGTCTTCATCTGGGTGTTGAGACATGACTTACTTAAGCAAAATGGTGATCCAATGAATGGTATCCTGCCTGGAGGAGTTTGTCTGCCTAGAATCTAGACAGGGAGGGGAAAGGAGTAAGGACTAGATGATGTGAAACTTGTCCCACCTGAGGAGTGCTTTAGTTACATATTTACTGAGTAACTTCTTTGTGAGTCAGGCAAGGTATCCTTGCTAATGGCTACTGTAAGGTGTCCTGTCTGTGGTTGAAGGGCTTCTGGTCTCAGTCCAAGTGCCCCAGGACCGTTCTGTCACAGTCTGGAAATGTACTCTGCCCACGTGTCCCTAGTCTTTGTTCTGTGTGCACCAGACAGCATTTCAGGTATTTCACTCTTGAGATGGGCATGCCTGGGATAACAAATGTGGATAGAGACCACTGAAGAACTATTTCCCTTTCTAGATAAGCTATTTGAATTCCTGGCCTCTT